ACGCATAGACCATAAAGTGGTGCGGGTTCATAGCTTACCAAAGTTGTACTAAAACATGTTGTACTGGGGTCTACGGTATACCCCGGTAAAATCCTGAGAAGGTTTAACAGTATCAAAATTTGGATACCGCTCAGCCCTCATATATAGAACTATAGTATCAAGGCTAAAACTTTGTAGAGATTGGACTTTTTAAGCTGTTTGCAGGCCAGCTTGTGTCCTTAAAGCAATGTCTTCAGAAACCAATTTGGCTCCAAAATCATCTGTCGATTTTGTGTCTATTTACTGGTTCTGTCGCAGCAGGAAATGGTCAGCGAGGGCCCTTTGACACCGAATGCTCAAATCCTTTTCAATCCAAATGAAACGCAATTACTCTTGACAGCCCCAAAGCACCAGGGACCATCTCACAAAGGCCCTCAGTCTTTAAATTGAGGCGTGAGATTTTAACATTCTTCATCAGAGAGCGCCTGGACCGGACCGCTGGAGCATGATCACATGGGGCGCGCTGAATGACATGTCAATCATGCAGCTGTGAAAAGGGACCCAATAAGAAACTGGATCCAAAATGGCTGCCAATTTCACTGCTGGCACACCTCCTCCTAAAATTAGTTATTTTACCACTTCCAACTTCCTTTTCTGTATGTTCTGGTATTCAGGTATTTTAGTTTCAAGTTATATGTAACATTTTGAGGACTTTTTAGGATGCAATATTTCATTTTTAATTAATTAGTTAAAGGTGCATTGCATAACTTTTCTGGTGGAGGGTCTGTCAAATGTTGTTCTTCAAGGAGATGTTACTGGTTTATTTGGAATGTTTCTATATTCATGGAGACCAAACCAGACCAAGTTACAGGTCAGATCTGTGGAGAGGTAACCCTGCTCAGATTCAGAATTCCTGTTTTTCTAGGTATTTTTGAGCAATAAAACCACCTGAAATTGAATAAATGTGAAGTAGAGCTGTTTGAAAGCATACTATGGAACATTCCAGAGCAATGACATGTCCACAGAAACAAAAAAGTTACATATAGTGCACCTTTAATCGTTTTGATAACAGTCCTAATTTTACAAAATCATGAATTCAAGTTGTTGGTCCGGTCACAATAAGTACTATAACAACTCACTGTTCATATGAGATAGAAAAAAAACAATATTTTGAGATTTGTATAGTTATATTTACCATTTCTTTCCACTTATTTTTGTAGTATTAGTAGTTATTGCATCAGTAGCATAAAGAAGCAGTAATATTGTAGTTGATCATGGTATTTTCTGTTGTAATCTATAAAAGTGGGTTATAGTGACAAGTCTACAAGTTGTTAATATGCACTTGTAAATTCAAGTGTTTGAGAATAAGACTGCATCTAATTAATTGAAAAATTACACTGTCAATCAACTAAATGAACCGTGACTATTTTGATGAACAGATGGTTAGTTTAGGCTTGTCAGGAGTCTCAAATCATACTTGTGACAGCAGCTTATAGAATTGAAAAACACTGTCACATAAATAACCCGTTTTTGTCATAAATCAAAATAAATATTGCAGAATTAAATTAACTGGAATTAATGATGTTGCTTTGTTTTATTAACAAATCATTTTGTAAAGTTGTGAGGAAATCAGAGAGACAGTTTTGGAAATACTTTGGACATGTTGCTGAATGCAAAGGAGAAGTTAATAGACAGAACTATGGTAAGGTTAGATTTGGCAGGCGGGATATAAAAACAAATGCATGTACACAGGTAAAAGGGGGCATTTTAAAGGTCATATATTACACAAAATTACACAAAATTGATTCTTGTGAACTTTAAACCATGTTAAAATGTTGTTACTTCCTCAAAAAATGCCCGGAGTTGTGTTTTTTTTTTTTTCAGTCACAGATGTTTGAGTAACCCTGCATTATTAAACTGTCTACGTCTCCAAAGCTCAAAATGCTCTGTCCAACCTTGTGATGTCATGTAGCAATAGTTTTCAATTTAACAGCTAACTTCTAAATTTTGTTCAGCAGAGATTTGCAATTGCAGGTCTGATATTGTCCAAATGATTCTAGTGAAGGTGCATGAAGTTTAAAAACACAGAAGGTGGAACAGAGTGTTTTCCGTTTGAGAGAAGAACTCAGTCTAAATATACAGGATTTGTGTGTTAAACATGTGTGAATGAAACAAAACACAACTCCAGGTATGCTTTTGATGAGGAAAACATTATAACCTAGGACAGAAAAAAGCGTAATATAGGCCCTTTCAGTTCGATTGTGGACAAGAAGAGATTGCATAAAACAGACAAATGTAGATGCAGGAACAGTGCCAACAGCAACAGATACCATACTTAAACATTTAATTATGATATGAAGTCTACTACAAATACATGTGTAAATTTATGTTTTAACTTTTGCTGTGCAGTGTCTGTTTATATACTCATATAGATTTCACCATCACATTAAAATCACTTTAGCTGTCTTCCCATGCCATATAGATACATAATTAAGGTTTGTTTACGTTTCCTTGCAGTCTCATCTCAGGCTTGTCTGGCAATAACGCTCCCTCCCAAAGACCAATCACACTAAACCACATTATAGCACAATCTAAAGAGCCCAGTTTAGAAAAGCAACCAAAGTAGATTAGAAATTATCTGTCTCTAAAGAGATTAGAGGGTGGCACAATATCCCTGCAATGTAGATAAGTAGAGGCAGGGCTGTGGAGTAAATGAACTCACAACAAGTGCAACAGTGGACTGGGATGAGGAGGTTTTCACAATAAATGAACTGTTCAGCGGATATGGCTAACTGCATTTTGGGTCATTTTCACTCATAAAAGTTGAATGTTGTTGCTTTAACTGAAATAATAATGAGTTGCATCGGATCTGCTTTACCCATGGCAACGGAGCGATTGGCTGATTTCGGTGGTTACCTGGTTCGCACACTGAGCAGCTGTTGAAACTTTTTGAGCTCAGGTTTTAACATAATATGAAGGGATTTTAACTACTAAGAAGTGCAGCATGTGCATTTCAAAGGACAGAAGTAAGGGACTTTTGGAGCTTGTGAAATGAGCCAATTATTTTTCCTGTATTCATGGAGACTATGGGCATTTGAGATGCCACAGACTTTTTACTCCATATGTGGCGGAAGAGCTTTAGAGGAAATATTTTGAGTGAATGAACACAAGGGACTGCTGGTTTATGTAAAATGAACTGTTTGTTTTTCCCGTATTCATGGAGACTGTGCAAGAAGCTAGCTAAGGAGTTAACCATGGACACTGAGATGCTACAGGCTTTTTACACCATATGTGGCAGCAAATAACTTCCAAAGCAAATACTCCAAAAAATACCATTTCATCACCAACTGAAACACCAGAGTGGAGTAAGAAACCTTTCCTTTTGTATTCACTTGGCTCCTCTGAACACTGCTGTGATGTGGCCGGACCCAGAGGGGAAAAACTTTTGGCTCTTCCTCTCCTCAAACTGCCCTGACACAAGATCAGCTGACCCTACCTCACCAGTCCTCCTCTTAAACTGCACTGAGACCTTTGACTGAGACACAAAGCCGACTGAGAAGAGCAGTTGCAGCAAAACAGATTTAAAGGGACCATATTATATCTGTGTTATAATGTTTCCTCATTACAAACACGGAGTTGTGGCTTAAAGCTCTCAAGAGTCATTTTTGTGTTATATGGGACCTTTAACAGTTTATCAACTATTTATAATATTTGGAATAAGGATTACAAGTCAATTTAGTAAACATGGGGTGATAATGAAAATAATGATTGTACAAACACCAAACACCAATTAAGTTAAATAAATGATTGCTCAGTTTGACAACAATAAAAAAACAAAAAACTTTAACAGCAATCAGCATTTTTTATATTTTATAATCAGTTTATTTTTCATAATTTGAAACTCTATTTACAGGTTTACATATATTGTCACAAATCTGTATTTCCCACACTACTGAATGAGTACCTGACTGCATTTTGTCATTTATTAAAATGTCGATTTGGTAAAGTTGGGGTCATAATGAACGTAATTATTAAACATACACCAATTACCCTAAATAAATGATTGCTCTCTTTGCTGCAATCACCTGAAGTACTGCACCATAATCACCAAGGTAAACGCTGTGTCTGGAGTGTGTATTTGAACTACAAATACTATTAGCATTTAGCACACCTCATACAAGAGTGAGAAATGGGCTTATGTCCTTATGCAAACATTTTACAGGTATATTTGAGCTTCATCCGCAGTGCTCCATAAGAGACACCAGTTCAGACAGACTTGCATTGAGCTTTATAAAATTACAAAAAATGTGAATATTTATATGTATTGACTGATTAGAAGGAATTATTAATTTAGCTAAAATATCTGGATGTACTTTTGTTGGCAAGCTCAATCTATATTTAATTTAATCATTTATCCCTTCAGGGTTGTTCAGTAAAGAAGTTGAACATTGTATGCCCTTTCTGTCATGAGGAGACATATAGATGGACTAGAGTGGGTGTCTTGCCCAGGGACACAACTACAGTATGGGCTCTGGCTATGTTTAAACCAGCTAACCTCTGGTATGTTTCACTCTATGGCTCTAAAAGTTTCAAGAGTTTTGTTTAGTAAAATGAACAGTGATTAAAACTTGGAATACTTTGTTTTCTGGTGTAAAAAATAATATAAATAAAATAATAAATTAATAAATAAACTACTAAAAAAAGGTAAACTACTATCCAAGGAAGAGTCATTGTCTGAACATCTGATTTATAATTTGAAGTTAATGTAATTTATACAACATAACAAGTAATCTTTGGATAAATAATCCACTCAAAGATCCTACCATAAAAAGACAGAAGCCTTTAATCAGATCTGAAGGAGATGTCCATGGAACATGTTCAAATCATTTAATATCAACATAAAGCTTTTGTCACAGGACTCATTCAAGGTGCAATCCACCTCTTTTCCCAGAGTAATTGCTTTTTATATTTATTCATTTATTTTACATGCAAATGAGATAATGAAACCTGATGGCTCTTACATTTGAGTTCCAGTCGGATGAAGTCTGTATTGCCCAGGTTTTCCAGAAACACTCCATAGGGGGCGCTGGTCTTGAAATAGAAGGAGATGTCTGCGCTGGTCTCGCCTTGGAAAGTGGCAAAGTGCAGGTAGGATGATGGAGTGGTGAACGACGCTGCATTCCAGTAGTCAGCTGCAAAAACAATGACAAATAGATCCTGTTATCACAAAGCAAACAAGCAAACAGTACAATCAATGATGAGAGAGATTACATTTGGGTTGTATACTGTTATAAATGACCAGGCAGACTTTATTATTTGATTTGAAAGACCCACTATCCCATCTGGATAAAATGAGATCATCTCCAGTGTGTGGCTTGATAAAAATGAATGAATCACATCTGTCATGGTTCAAAATTAATAATAATTTACTTATTGTACTCAAATCAGTGAACAAAAAAAAAGTACTGCCAACAAAAAGTAAGCACATTGTAAATTTTAACATTACTAGTAACATTTCATATAACTACTTTTTACCAAGGCTTGCTACAAATAATTACTACACCTACTCATTGTCAATAAATGAGAGTTCCGTATTTGGAATTCATAGTATCCAAAGAGCCAATCAGGAATGAGAGTGTCAAAGGTAATGGCTCTTCCCACCCACACCGATGGTTTAACAGGGAACGGGCGCTTAGCAACGCTGTCAATCAAACCTGTTCCTAACTCTAGTCGAAGGGACCTTGGGGAAATAACCTGATTTATCGGTTATTAATGTTCATAAGTTGATTTACAGAGAAAATAGCAAAATAAAAACACCATGCAGGTTCAAGTAGAGCAGGTTAATAGGAACATTTTAAGACATAAACAAAACATTACGAGCCTGACAGCAGCAGTTACAGAGAGAGGGGCAATGAATTTTCAATAGAAAGTCCATTGGAAAGAACACTGGTCAGAGATTCATCAACATCTACAAAATGTTTTTTCATTTGTTTTCCCCCTGTCATTTGAAGCCTTGTATCTTGGTAAGTTAGTATTAGACGGCTTTAACAACACAAACAAGAGATTACTCTATATTCTCTTGGCAGCATGTAAAAAGGCAATAACAAGGAAGTGGCTTAAACCTGAGTGACCAACAATTGAGAACTGGACTGATAGTCTGAAGGTTTCATTTTTATTGAAAGTGCAACTAGATTTATTTTACAAGATGTGGTCTAAATGGAAGGAGTATGTAAAGCCGGTGAGATCAGACTTCATATAAAACTACTTCATATTTGCAGTGTTTTGTTAATTTTGTGAAAGAGGTTCCCTGGTCCCCTGAGTTTTTATATGTTTTTAAAAATGCAAAAGCAGGAACGTGTGATTTTATTCTACACTAATGCAATGTATAATCTGCTTTTTCAATAAAAGGTAAATTTGAAAAAAGAAAGTCAATTGGAGGCAGAGTTGATGGAGTCAGAAGCAAGTGCATGCTCACTTCCTATTTTTTTTTGACAGGTTTATTTGTTCCTGCATTACTACTAATTATACTGTACTGTATTCTGAAAAAGACTGGGAAAAAAATTGACACAAAACTGAAAATACAACTAAAATACACTTCAAAATCTTCCGATATAATACCACAACACAACAAATTCTTGGGATTTCTAGCATAGATTTTTGTGTACTTTCTCTATTAATCCAGACTTGGAAGTGACACAAAAAGTACTCAGGTTCATTATATTCCATCTCCATTGAATAATAAGAAGATATCTGGAAATCAATCTTTCTCACTTTCTAAGAGGACAGGGCTAGAAAATGTAGTGTCTTTTTGCGGACAACTTTTCTAATGACTTTTGAATGAAGCGCGACCGTCGGGCCCTAATGAAGACAAAGTGAGTGAATGCTAAACAGCTGCAGATGAATTATCAGACTATGGCTCTGTCGCTGTCTCCTCCGTCCCCTCACCGAGTCTCCACCATCACTCAGGAATGATGGAGAGCCTGGTGAGAAAGGAGGAGAAAAGGCCAAATCGTTGAACCGAATATTGAAAGAGTGGTGAAGGAGAGAGATAGAGAAAGCGAAAAAGAAAGAGAGAGAGAGAAGTGCCATGTCTCGAAGAGGGCAGTTAGCGCTGGGGGATGCAGAGGGGCTCGGGGCAAGTGCAGGGCAAAAGGAGATCTGGAGGTGGAGAGAGATGTGATATCAATATTATTTCTCTTAAAGGTCAGAGCAACAGGCACACAGTTTATACTATACTTTATAGCGAATTCTAAATCTGTACATATCTAAAATAACTGGTTAAATTATTGAACACAGCAGCAATTAAAAGCCTGGTGTATATCAATACTTTCAAAGCACGTTTCAAAATGATGAGAAAACGTAGTTCAAGGTAAGGATATTGATTGCCCACGAAACAGTTCAAAGTTACTGCACATTAAAGTACAGCTAAAATATTAATACAGATCATTGTGCGTGATCTAGTTTTCTACAGTATTTCCTTATGTACTACTTGTTGCTTTTTAAAATGACTGAACAAACTAATCATAAAAAGAGACAGAAAGACTATTAGTATTATCCGTATGTTTTTAGATGCTCGATCTCCCAGAAGATGTTCAAACTGACTGTACGTTTTATCTTTAAATAATGGGATTAAGATGTAATTAAAATTGAAGATATTCACCAATAACTTGAAAACATTGATTTTCCTTTTTGAAACGTGTTTTTGTTATCTTACTTTACAGTAACTATATCTATATAACAATTTCTTGCGGAGGGCACAGGACGGATGAGGATATGTAAAGGTGACACCAAGATCATTAGTCTAAAGGTCAGAGTAACAAACATGAACTACGAGCTAACTTCAAAATACTCACTGCACGTTTTAATAATTGAACAAAGCATAAATTAGCTGCGCTCTGTCAATATTAACAACATCAAACCAAGCATGTAAAAATCTTTAATACACACATTCTTGTACATTAAAGTCAATTTCAAAGGGGGCTTTCAAGTGCAGCCTATAAGCCCACATATGCAAATGGCGGTGGTCTCTGTAGCTAGTAATGCTGTGGAATGCAGTCCAAGTCCATGTGAAGTGACCAAACAGAGGCGTAGTACGAGTGTGTGTGGTATCCTGGTATGAGGAGATAACAGTTCCCTAATGATAGCTCCGAGCCCCTCCTCCTCATAGTCAGAGCCTCGTCTGGTCACTGAGGAATAGGCGGATACAAGCCAACAACACACAGCTGATGCGAGCTTTGTGATTTCTGTCTTTGAAGTTTATTTCTTTATTGAAGGGAGAGTAAAAAGAATGGAAAGGAAATGTGTATGAAGTCTGATACTGCTGTAAATGTTGTGTACATTATTGTAAACTTCAGCTAAAACCAAGCAGCTATCCACTACAAATATAAGTTGGGCAACCTTTGATATTTCAGAATGAGAAGCAAACAAGTATAAATTGAAGAAAAGGGTGTCATGTAGTTCAAAGTTAAACGGAACTTTTAGCCTGGTTGTCACCTGTTTGGCACAATCGTTGTTGGTTTGCCAGGAATATTCAACAGTCATTGTTTTAAAGTTTCTCCATGGAAACAAGCAAGTGACGTCTTCAGGCCAAGTTATGGGACAGATCTGTGGAGAGGCAGACCCGCTCATAGGAAAAATGTATGAGTTCAAGATCATTTTAGAAATGAAAACAACCATAATACAATAAATTGCATTGAATTCTGGTTAAATAATTAATCTCTATAGAGACAAGAGCAGTCCCTCCACCTAAGGGCCTGTTTACATGAGAACGATTGTGGGTAAAAACAGCAAAATATTTTATCAGAAGAGCTTTTCGTTTAGATGGTGACAGTGTTTTGGGGCTTAAAAATGCAAAAAATCGGAAAACAACCGGCAGAGTGGAAAAGTTGAATATGCTCCGCCGTAGCGTTTCCGTCTACACTGCCCAAGACGCAAAACTCTGGTTAGATCTGCTCACGTTGTGTATGCGTTTACGTCACATACATTACCACCTAGTCGCCTGGCATGCATACCAAATCAAATTCAACACACTTTCGCATCACCGAATGCACGCAGATTTCCTCCCAAAAAAGCTTGTCTAAACGCAGAATAAAAAGTGAAGACGCAACGCCACTTTTGTGTCTTCTGTTCAGACCGTCATCATATAAACACAGCCTAAGAAAGTTACACCTTTAAGTTACAGGTCCACTACCTTCCTGTCTCCATGCCAATGTATTGCTTTGCCTGGAATGTTCCATGGTATGACATTAAACATATTCATAAGCATTTATTCATTATGTATGTTTCTACTGCTAAAAATACAATAATTTCTTTAGTGAATAGGGGTGACTCTCCACAGATCTGAACTGTAATGTAGCTGTGATAAGCAGGTAATGGACCCTGCACTGGAATTGTTATGTAGTGTACCTTTAAATACTTTTCTAGGTTTTTATCCAGTGAGGAAATCTATCTTTTTAATTTTTTTCTTCATTTTTACATGCTTTCACTATGTAGATCTAAATATTCTCCCCCCTGGTCTTGGTGGAACATTTTTAAAGAAGTCAACAGTTGGTGGTGGCACTTAAACCATCAGTATCAGTCTCCTTTGACTTGTCTAAAAATGAAGGACAGTTTCTGAGAGATTTGCTCTAAATTGCCAAACCACAGAGTGATAAGAGGGGCAGGGGAGAGGGTCTGGTGGACAGCTCCAAAAATTAAGGCTTGAAAGTGAGCCCAGAGAGTTGGACAGGAAAACTGAGAATGCCGAGCGTAAACCCCAGGCTTTTGCTTCTGCCAGATCCACAGATGTAACTAGTTTGGCTTGGTGCTGCTCCACAGTTATAACTCCCATATTGAACTGTTTATCAAGCAAATGTTTTTCTTAGTCATAACTGCCATTCCCAAACTAAACCCCAGTAAACCCAGTGATGCCTTGATGCTTCTGAGCAATTCAAATTTGTTTTATCCCTCAGATTTCATTATCCAAGTTCGACCAAATAATCGTTATGTGGGACCACCTGCTCCACAGAATAGGATGGCTGTCTTCTGAGCCAGTTTGTTTATGCATGACGATAAAGTTCAGTTTGTAATAAAGCAAATGTTATTCTCGTAAACTGGTTTATGACTTGTACTTGTTCCAATAAGCTATGAGAGATGCTCAGAGCATAGAAGTATGTCTATGGTAAATATCTATTCATAGCCAAGATGAGTAAGG